AAGTCGCCACATGTTCCAACCCCCAACCTGGATGGCCAGGAGACTGTGTTCGTCAGACCTCTAACCATTGACCAACCTGGTATGAGAGACTCTGTGAGTGTCGCGGGACACTCTCCAGTATAGCTCAATGGATCGCTGAGGTGCGCAAACCGTCACACCACGGTAAGGTCCAGTCTCTTCGTGACATGCACAGATTTTATGGAGAAAATACCTCCAACAAAAAGGAGGAGAAGGGCACAAACTTTACTGCACCAATGGAATATAGGGAAAACAAATGTTGGATAGGATGTATTGGATGTTATGTGGAACGCCGTGTACAGGCGGGACCAAAACTAACCTTTGCACATCTGTTGAATCCTCGCAGAAACGTAGTCGATCTCCGCTGCAAACATCCTGGATACAAAATTGCACAGGTGTAGGAGTGAACTGTTCGCAAGGAGGCAGAAGGCAGTGGATTCCGAGTAGAAAATCCAAAAAAATGAGGGTGTTCAAAACGGTACTCCAGCCGGACTCAAACCTAAAAAACAGCTGGTAAGAACAGAGATGGCGCGATTAACCGCGAAGGCCGGAGCAGGATTGTACCATACGCAAAATAATACGTTATTGTATAGCCAGGCTAACACCGATGCTTTGAGGTAGCCAACTTTCAACTCGTAGTCGGGAATCACCATTGTCGACAGCAAACCAGTGCTCAAAATCGATACTTCGCTGAAGTACAACACAATGAATTGGAGAGCCCAATTGTGAAGAACAGTGGGTAGTGAACGGACCAAGTGTGGAGAAAACCTTGTCGATCTGGAATATGCAGACGACATCGTTCTCATGATCGAAGAGGAGGAAAAGGCGCAAGCATTCTTGGATGAACTGACCAAAGTCATCCCGTCCTTTGGTATGCATTTTGCACCCACAAAGTGTAAGGTCATGCTTGTGGACGTGCAGTCACTGAACACGCCCCTTACAATCCAGGGAGAGGTACTGGAAGTTGTGGAGCGTTTTACGTATCTTGGAAGTTGTATTAGTTCTGACTGTAGTGTGACAGATGAGGTGAATGCACGAATCTGCAAGGCTCGGGCCGCGTTTGCTAACTTGAGACACCTATGGCGTCAGAATGGTTTATCCCTGAATCTGAAG